ATCTGTTCAAGATTCAGCGAACACTGAAAAAACTCTAAAGTTATGCTAGTGCCAGCGATCAAATGAATCTTGATTTACAAGATTAGTTTTTGTCTTATCATTCTGCACATAAAGGACAACCTCATACCTCACAAAGTAAAGCACATGTACAGAGTTACTCTATTTCCTCCAAGCGTGTTTACCTACTTTGTAAAAGGGCACTGTTCAAGCATGGCCAAAAGCTTGTATATATTTGAAGAAAAAGGACAAGCTCACCTCTAGAAGATTGCCACATGCTTTGTACCATATGACTTGCATTAAATACAATGGGTATAAATAGCTGAGGAGACTCTCTTCTCTATACTACGAAGCTAAGCTTACTTACAGCAAAGAATAACACATACATGCAAGACTAAGATTACTCTCAAGCAAAGTGATAGCATCTTCTCAAATAAGCACTTTTTCTCTTGTTTTTCTGTATCTTGTGTGCTTCCAAGATTGTTTAAATAAGTTATGTATCTTATATTCTTCCACAAACAATCTGTATAATGTGTATTGATACACCCCCACCCTCTATAATTTGTTACCTATAAACTCTTGTAGATCCGTCTGGGACCAACACTGACCTTGAAGTCCATCTACTTTCCACCTATGCATTTCCCAATGTTGGTGATGAAGACAAGTTTGATAAGCAAGAGGATGATGAGGATCCCGAATGTAATAATCGGCTTTTAGTTAAGGTTGTAAAGTATTTGTTAATGGAAAGTTCGGGGTTAGAATTCGACATTTAAAGGTTGTAGAGGAATCAGTTTATAATTCTTTTCTATTTTTAAGTTATGAAAATAATTATAACCTTTATGGTTATTTTATTTTTAAGGGTTGGCTACATGTGGGGGGGAAGGTGCCTGCTCATGCACCACCACCATCAACTGCTTCTTTGTACTTACTATTTATCGTAAGTATGTATGGATTGGGAAAGGTTTACAATTTTCTCTCTGGACATCTATCTTGGTAAGATTTGGAAGAACACAGAAGCAGATTTCAAAATCGTGTTTTAAAGACAAAGGTGAGTTCCATACTGCTTTGGATATATCTAGTTGTTATAATATCATAGTTTATCTTGCTAAAATTATAGCACATGTTGTATGGATCGGTTTTTAATTGCATTACTATTACTATTTGCTTCATCATGCATTGATTTACTCAAGAAAAACTCTCCTCGGACAAGGCATTGTCTGATGAGGTCCCTCATCGGATAAAACATTGTTCGGTGAGATCTCTTCATCGTTTAAAAGGTTAATGGATCGAACCTTTCATCGATCAAGTATTGTCCGGTAACCCCCTCACCGATCAACGCTTGTCCGGATAGGACCCCTCACCAATCAAGGTGTCCGGATAATACCAAGTGTTGTTCGATAACCCTTCACCAGAAATAGTATTGTCAGGATAAGACTAAAGCGTTGTGTGGTAACCTCCTCTCCGGACATAGTGTTGTCCGATAGGACTAAATGTCGTACAATAATCTCTTCAAGAATTAAGTACTATCTAGTTGGCTTTTATTAGATGAAATGGTGGTGTAACCGCGATAGATGAAATGGCGGTGTAACCGATGAAATGGCGGTGTAACCGATAAAATGGTGGTGTAAACTGTGATAGATGGAATGGCGATGTAACCGCGATAAATGAAATGGCGGTGTAACGGTGATAGATGGATTGACAGGATAACCAATATATTAATGTAAGGTTAAAATTCAGGTTTGAACTATCTTGGGATTTGTAGTAAATTATGTTTATAAGAAGGTAATTCACTCACTAGATCATTTGGTGTAACCCTAAATTTTTGTAATAAATTGTTTTGCGGGTCATCAAACATCTCAGGATAAAGGTAAAGGGAAGATGTAAGGAAGAGATTAGTGGAAGAAAGTTTTATTATGACAAAATTTTTGTGAACCCATACTGTTGATTTGTCATATGTAAATATACCTGAAATGTTTATATATCGTTGGCACTTGATGTATGAAAATGTATGAGTTTTGATTATTAGTATTGTTTAGTGTGTGGTGGGTTGTTTCAGTTGGTATCAGACTCTTAGTTTAAGAGATCTGGGTATTTTCCTTATACCTAGACTTAAACTAAAGATATGGAATATGTGATGATAGGTTCCACTAGGATTATGCACCTGAGAATGTGTTATGATTAAACTTATTATGATGATAAGTATGATAGAGTTAGATTACTTGAGATTAATGTAACCTAGAGTTACAAATACTTGATCTATGGATAAACATGTTATCATACTTTGGTATGTGATTAATCGTATATGTATTTATTGTGGCAATAAGGAAGTTAAAGTAACACGAGTATTTAGAAAGAATGGCAGATAATCTCAATCGATCTGGAAGAATTTCTACTAGCCATAGAAGAGGTAGGGGAAGAGGAATGGTAAATAGAGAAGAAAACCTAGAAAATGCTACGACCATTGAAACACGAAGTCGAGGCCGGGGACAAGGAAGAGGATGAGATACTCAACAAGAAGCCCATACAGAACAAGAAATATCAGTACAAGAAAGTTCTATGTCAGGTCATGGACGGGGAAGAACAAGGGGTAGAGGTCATGCTTATGACCCTGGGTTTAATACCCAGGAAATGTTGGCAGCTGAACTGGGATAGTTTCAGGAAAGTCTGGTAAACTTGTTGGGTTGTTCTACATAGAATAATCTGGAAGGAGTAGGGAACCCGAATTTTCATGAGCGTACACCGGTAACCACTACATCCGCACCACCTACTCCATTTTCGGTATAAAAAAAGGAGTGGATATCAAGATGTTTCTTGCCTTAAACCCCCTAAGTTCTATGGAGAACTTGATCCTCTCAAATCCATGTGTTGTCTTAAAGAAACTGAATTAAGTCTGCATAATAGTAAAAGTGCATAAGAAGATAAAGTAATGTTTGTCGTATCCAGTTTGCGATCAAGTACGTCATATTGGTGGGAAATTTTGTGGAACTCTGATCCGAATATTCTGAAGACAATGTTGTAGGAAGAATTTACGATGAAGTTCAAAATTCAGTATTGTCCTGAAGTAGTTGTTCAAAAGCTAGAGAACGATTTCCTTCCATTGGAACATGGTAATATGACAGTTCACCAGTATACAGAGGTTTTTATAGAATAGTCTCGATTTTTTTAGGCTTATATTGCTACTGAAAGCAGTAAAGTAAGGAAGTATATTTGGGGTATGGAGTCTAATCTTCGAAAAGTATGTAATATCCAGGAACCCGGTTACATTACAAGCAGCAGTTGATGTTGTAGAAATTTTGGAAGAAGATATTAATCATCAACCATAACAAAGGTTGGGGATAAAAGAAAAGGGGAAACAGTAGCAACTGATTTGCGTAGACTTAGATTTGTTGAAAATTTGAATCGGCCAATCTCTAGGTTTGTTGATAAAGCATGAGTGCGATATCATAAAATACATCAAGGAAACTGCAATGCTGAGTCACGAACATGTTACAATTGTTAAGAATCAGGGCATATAGCCAGAGATTGTCGAATGGTACAAAGATGTTTTACGTGCAATTCTTCTCAACATATAAATGTTGATTGCCCGCAAGATAAGGGACATGGATCTGGTTTTGTTAGGGGACGGGGATCTGGTTATTCTGGGGGCCGAGGATCTGGCTAGCTCCACCTAGTCGCGGGCCAATGGTTAATCATAGTATCCCTAGCAGTCATGGGGAAACCACATGTGGTGAGGCAATGGCTAGAGGACGAGCCTTTTAGATGATGAGAGGTGAGGCTGAAGAACATCCTTAAGTGGTGACAAGTACATTCTTCGTTAATTCAGTATATGCCAAAGTTTCATTTGATTCTGATGCAAATCTTTCTTTCGTGTCACCTCATTTGTTGGTTGCGCGTATATAGAACCTCAAGTGTTAGATGAGGTATTGATAGTAGAAACATCAAATGATAGTGAAATATTGGTTAAAGAAGATTTTGATAATTGTTACATAACCGTAGAAGGGTGTGAGGTACCCACACAGTTATTTCCTATACCATTAAGAGAGTTTGATATAATCATGGGCATGGACTATTTGGCTAAAAATCAAGCCAATATAATCTGCAATAAGAAGATGATTCATATAGATTTACCGGAGAAGGGACCGGTAATAATCTATGTTGACAGGCGGGATAGCTATCCCAGCCTTATCTCCATTTTAAAAGCTTGAAAGTATGTGTAGAAAGGATGTATCAGTTTTCTTGCTTACGCGATTGATTTAAAGAAAAAAAGAATAAGATGGAGGATATTCCGCTTGTAAGAGAATTCCCAAAAGTAATTTCATAAGACTTAACAAGTTTACCTACTGATCAATCAATAGAATTCCAGATTGAGTTATTGCCTGGAGCGGCGCCGTTGCCCGTGCACCATACAGGTTAGTTCCATCTGAGTTAAATGAGTTAATGTCTCAGCTGAAAGAATTACTGGATTAAGTTTTATCTTACCAAGTACATTTCCTTGGGGTGTGTCGGTGTTATTTGTGAAAAAGAAGGACAAATCAATAAAAATGTGCATTGATTACCGGGAATTAAATAAATTGACAATCAAGAATAATTATCCTCTCCCAAGAATTGATGATTTATTTGATCAATTTATTGGGGCCACTTATTTTTCTAAGACTGATTTACGATCCAGTTATCATCAGCTAAAAATTCGAGAAAAAATGTGTCGAAAATGGCATTTCGTACACGTTGTGGGCACTACAAATTTCTGGTTATGTCGTTCAGACTTACAAACGTACCAACAATATTTATGGACACGATGAATAGGGTATGTCGTCTATATCTCGATAAATTTGTGATTGCTTTTATCGATGATATTTTGATATACTCTTGATCAAAAGGAAGAGCATGCAATTCATTTACGATTGCTTTTGGAATTATTGAAACAAGAAAAGTTATATGCCAAGATGTCAAAATGGGAATTCTGGTTATGGGAAGTCTAGTTTTTGGGCCATGTTATTTTTTAGATGGGCATCAAGGTGGATCCTCTTAAAATTGAAGCTATTGAAAAATGTGAAGCACCGAAAACCCCAACAGAAATCAGAAGTTTTCTTGAATTGGCAGGTTATTACCGAAAGTTCATACAAGATTTTTCTCCTATAGCTACTCCACTAGCTGCATTAACGACAAAGAATGTGAGATTTAAATGGAAGGAGGAGCAAGCTAAGGCTTTTCAGAGATTAAAAGATAAACTGTGTAGCGAGCCAATTCCATCTTTACTTAATGGAACGAAAGATTTTATGGTTTACAGTGATGCCTCAAAGTTGGGTCTAGGTTGTGTGTTGATGCAACGTGGAAAGGTTATTGCTTAAGTGTCACGTCGATTAGAGGATCATGAAAAGAATATCCCACTCATGATATGGAACTAGCAGCTGTAGTTTTTTGCTTTAAAAATTTGGAGGCATTACTTTTATGAGACCAAATGCCAAATTTTTACTGATCAAAAAAGTTTACAGCATTTGTTTTATTAAAAGGAGTTAAATATGCGCCAAAGACGATTTGGTTAGAGTTGGTTATTGATTATGATTGTGAGATTTTGTATCATCTAGGCAAGGCGAATGTGATACTTGATACTTTAAGTCGAAAAGAAAGGAGTGGTACAATTAAAGCTATAGCGTTAAGAGTTGCATTATTGACAAGTATACAGGATGAATTACAAAGATTCCAAAGCGAGGTTGTAAGAGAAAACAAGATCAAAAAGGAACGACTTGGTGGAGTGATATTTGAACTAGTAAAAGGCGGTCGGGAATTGTTATCTTTTCAATGCAGAGTTTGGGTACCGTCTTATGGTGATCTCAGAGAATGCATTTTAAGTGAAGCCAATAAATCTCGTAATGGGATCACATTACTATGGATTTCATAACCAAGTTACCTAAAACACTAAAGGGTTATGACGCCATATGGGTTATTGTGGATCAATTATCTAAGTCTGCTTATTTCTTACAAATAAAAGAATCATACTCGATGGACCAGTTGGCAAAATTATATACTGATCAAGACAATCGATTCACTTCGATGTTCTGGAAAAGCTTTTAAAGAGAAATGGGTTTATAAATTAAGTTAAGTACAGCTTATCATCTACAGACGGATGGACAAAGTGAACGAACAATCCAGACACTAAAAGATATGCTTCGAGCCTGTGTTATTGACTTTGGAGGATTGTGGGATAATCATTTGTCCTTGATTAAACTTGCCTACCATAACAGTTATCACTCGAGTATCCAAGCAGCATCTTTTGAAGTATTACACGGACGAAAATGTCAAACGTTGCTTGTTGGAACGAGGTAGGTGAAAAACAGTTGGCTAAACCTGAAATAGTTCAGTAGACCGCAGATAAAATTAGTCAAATTCAGGAATGAATGAAAGTAACTCAAGATTGATATAAAAGTTATGGAGATAAATGTAGAAAGCCGATTAAATTTCAAGTCGTTGATGAAGTGATGGTGAAAGTATCACCTTGGAAGGGAGTGGTTTATTTTGGAAATAAAGTCAAGCTAGCCCATGGTATATTGGACCATTTCCCATCCTTGAGCAAATTGGAGAAGTGGCATATAGACTAGAACTTCCTGTGTAGTTAAGTGGCATTCATAACACTTTTCATATGTCAAATCTACGGAAATGCATGGCAAAACTAGAGGTAGTTGTGCCAATACCAGAGATTCAGATTGATGAAAAGTTATGTTTTGATGAAACCCCTGAAGCCGTTACCGACTTCAAAGTAAAGGCGCTAAGAAATAAAGAAATTAGATTAGTAAAAGTTCAATGGTACTATCATAAGGGACTGGAAGCCACCTGGGAACTCGAATCAGAAATGCGAGTAAAATATCCTCATTTGGTTACTTAGTGGAATTCCAAGATAGAAATCTTCTAAGGAAAGGATGTTGTAATAGTCAGCTTTCAGTTAAGTTGTAAAGTATTTGTTAATGGAAAGTACAGGGTTAGAATTCAGAATTTAAAGGTCATAGAGGAATCAGTTTATAATTCTTTTCTTTTCTTAAGTTATGAAAAGAATTATAACCATTATGGTTATTTTATTTTTAAGGGTTGGCTGCATGTGGGGGGAAGGTACCAACTCATGCACCCCCCCCCCCCATCAATTGCTTCTATGTACTTACTATTTATAGTAAGTATGTATAGATTGGGAAAGGTTTACAATCCTGTTAGACTCCATAATGCAAAATGTAAAAAGTAATGAAAAACAATAAGTGATGAAGAACCAGAAGATCGATGAAAACATCAAGGCAGAGAAAGTATATCCAGCAGACCGATGGACAGACTATCCAGAGCTTCGATGGAAAGTATATCCAGCGGATCGATAGACGAATCGATGGAAAGTGTTCATCGATACAGTAGAGCAGTTCAACACTTAGAAGAATTTCTAAGTGTTCATCCAAGCATACATTGAAGACTTGAAGATAAGGATGAAATCACCTATTCAATAATGACAGCTGGTGATGACTAATCAACAGCTGGTGATGACTAATCAACAGCTGGAGTTATAGTTTATCTTGTAATATATGATTATCCATGTAAATAGATAGACCTTATCTGTTAGCTAGACTATCTGCTAGAAAGTAGCAATAGRTAGTTATCTAGACATTAGCTAACTAGTATAAATAGACGACTAGGTCTATTGTTTAGGAGAGCGCATAAACGCATGCACACATATACGCATATACGTGCATAAGGTTTTTACTCTGTATTCACGATTTATTATTCAGTAAAACCTTTGAAACTCAAAACTGTCCTTTCTTATTCATAATCTATTTTTGAGTTTT